CTCGCGGGATGTTAGGAGAACACGAGCAAAGCTTGTAAATCACGAGCCGTAGGCGAGTGATTTACAAGCTTTTCGAGTGTTTTCCCAACATCCCAAGTGGTTTATTGAGCCGGTAAACCCATAGAAAGAGTGGTCTATCGCTTTTATGAAATAATTATGGAAAAGGTCTGTCAATGAGAGGAAAATTTATTGTACTTTCTTGATCAAGTTGCTTATTCTCGTCAAATTCATGAGATGACGCGACAAACCAATCACAGCGACTGAAAGAACGAAAGCACAGACTCCGCGCCGGACACGAAATCCGCAGAGCAAAGCGACGAAAACATTTTACGCTGAGAAAGTTTTAAGAAAGGAAAGGAAGAGATCATCTGTGACAGGCAAAAAGTATATTTACTAACTCAAACGTATATTCTGACGGGGAAATGCAGGGATTCGTAGATGGAATTGGTCATCACGAAAGTAAAAGTCTTTACAAAAAGCATGGAAGTCCAAACTTCAAGTGCTTGTTGAAGTAATTTAACGCAGTGTTTGCGGTAACGATAACTTTCCAAAGTTTTGCGCCGAATGGAATAAAGGTTAGTTACAGAAACGCTTAGTTACTTATGCTGAAGGCTATGAAGTCCGTGTTTCTCTGTATTTTGCTAAATGAAAGTTATTGCTTGAAAGCTAAGCTAATGGAAACCAAATTCATTTATCGTGTTATGCATGCATGCATAGAGTTTAAACTCAAAATTTCTGATGGAAAGAAATCTTTTTCCTGCTTTTTTTGACAACCCAAATTGATCAATCAGGCCCAAGCGACAGACCGTGGAAAGCACTGAAAAAAGGGTTTAAAACTTCCCTTATTTTAATCTCAAGCTTTATATGACGACTAACTTCTGGTCCTTTTTTTACATACATGCAAATTTCCATGTATATGTAAAATGAAAATGATATTCGTGTTATTGATATCTCAGCCAGTGAAAGGCAAAACTGTTTATAACATTTGTTATCGCTAGAGTTCCGGGTTCTCTAGTTCCCCCGTAGAACTGCCATAGATCGGGAACCGTGGTTTACCGGTACAATAGAACATAGGTTTAGCAACTCTATTGACGAATCAGAGCGCGCGTAGTATCTCAGTTATTTGATAATGGCTCATAGCCCATGATGGCTCAGCCAATGAAAACTCTTGAATTGCATTATCTAATTGCGTTTAAAATACTCACGCGACCTTTTTGAAATAATATCTTCGTAGTATAATGATCTAAAATTCGAATCTTTACACCAGCAGGACCTTGTCAAAACGACTGAGACATAGATCAAGAGGGCTTTAAGTTTATTTCACAATTACAGAGCAAATAAACTAACTGTCGGCCAAACGAGGAAAATCTTTATGTAACTCTGGCCTCCAATACACAACTGGCAAA